GTGGGCCAGATTTTGGCCCGATTGGAAGGGGCCCGGCGTTTCAAAATTGGGGCCCGCACCATAGAGGGAGGGCCCGGAAGCATAGTCGCAGGAGGGGAAAAAAGGTCAGTTAAATCAAAGGAGTCAGTCGAGGCCTCGAAACTGAAGCGGGGGAGGAAACAGTCAAAGGCAAAGGTACAGAGGCTTTGGGAGTGCCCCCGAAGAGGGGTTTCCAAAGAAAAAGGTGGGGTCAAAAACGGGGTGCGGTATCAAGAAGGGGTCTGGGGGGTAGCAGGTTCATGACGGGGCTTCCAGGTTAGGTTACTTCTTTTTTTTTTGTTTTTTAAAAAAAAAAATGAAAGAAAAAAAAAAAAGAAAAAAAAAAAAAGAAAAACAAAAAAGGGGGGACCGGGAGGGATTTAATTTTTCCTTTGGGGGAATTTAAAAGGGCCAGAAAAACCCCTCTTGCAACCCCAAAAGGGCCTCGCCCCCCCCGGGGGAAATACCGGAAATGCAGATGGAACCCGGGGCCAAACCCCTTTCCCATCAGCCAGTTTAAATGGGAATTTCCCCCATTTGCAACCCCCACATCTGCTGAGCTACCTCGGGTGGGCAAAAAGAAAGGGGGGCCGGGAAAACCCCCCACCCAAAACAAACCCCCCCTTTTGCCACCCACCCCCCCGGGAAACCGAAAAAAAATGGCTTCCAGAGATAAAACCCGGGGGATCCCCCCGGCAATTTCCCGATTCCACGGAAACTACGCCACCGCCCCCAAAACCCCAAAAAGAATGGGAAGGATCCTGGTACCCCCTTTTCCCACCCAGGGAAATAGTGGGGCCCGTTTGGGGAAAAAAAAAAAAAGGGCCCAAAAAGGGAAAGGGCCCAAAAAAAGGGGGGGGTGGGGAAAGGGGAGGAGGGAAAGGAAAAAAGGGGGGGGGTTGGGGTGGGAAAAAAAGGGGGTTGGGTTGGGAAAATTTGGTTCGGGTTCCCGAGGAAGGAGACCGAAAGGTCTAATTCCCCCCCGACCAAAAAAACCTCTTCACCACCGCCCAAAGGAGGCCCCCTTTTAAGAGGACAGTATTGGCCCAGCATGAAATGGGCTGGGTGAGAGTAAACGAAAGTTTGTTTTTCCCAAAAACTTTCCAAAATGTGTGGGTTTTTTTTAGTTGCGGGTGCATTTGGTTGGGCATTTATGTGTATGAAAAGGGGAGGGGCCCAGGAAAACTTCCCTGTGGGACCCAACTTTTAAATTTGGGTGTGCGGAAATTTTTTCCCTTTTTTGTACAAATTTTTGGGGTTTTGGGTTTCTGAGGTAAGACTTTAAGTAGTTTAGGGGTTCCTCTTATCCTAAATGCGACAATTTTATGTGGGCAAGTGTGGGCAACTGTACGAAAGCTTTACGTAAGTCAATGAAGATCCCCAGTGGACTTCTTTTTTCTCTATTGCTGTAAAAATATGTTCAAAGCATGTGGAATAATAGCATCATTAGTATTTTTATTAGGCCTGAACCCAAATTGACAGGGTTAGTATGTTGGGGAAGATGAAGGTAGGAATAGATATGCTTATGGATTAATTTTTCAAAGATTTAGAGAGAGGGTGTAATTGGAGATGGTCTATAGTTATTCAAGTCTGTGTGGTCTCCTCCTTTATGGATCGGGGTGACCCTTGCTATTTTGGAAACGGGTTAGGAAAGGTGAGGATTCGTGGATTTGTTAAAGAGTGTTGCAATTGATTGGTGATAGCACCTGTGATCACTTTTTTGTTTATAATGGGTTGTAAGGTATTTAAATCTCTGTCTTGTTTTTTAGTTTGTTGATAAAAAGGGAGACTTTCAGTTGGGTTAGTCGGAGCTAGGAACAGGGGTTTCGGGTATTGCCAGTGAGGTAGTCATTGGTGGGGTATCTGAGCTTGGGATTTTTTTGGGCAAGGTTTTTTTTTTTGTATAGTGGAGAAGAAATCATCGAGTCTGTTTGCTTTTTTCAGTAGGTGGGAATTGGGTCCATCTGGTTTTGTTAATTCAATTTCGCTATTTCGTGTTATCTTTTTGTTCCTAGTATTTCTATAGGGTTTCCAGGTCTTTTTTATGTAAACCTCGTGGGTTGAATAATCTGCTCTCATAATACAATTTTTTACCCTTCTTATTAGGCTGGTTAGGATTGAGGGAGTAACGTTTTGGTTTTGGTCTCTGGGTTATGTGGCCCATTCTGTACTGTTTTTCGTATAGGTGCTTTGTATTTATGGATTTCAGGATACGGGTGTTAGCCAGGGACTTTTCAGTCTCTTCGCAGCATCTGTTTAGTTTTTTGGGGCAGTGCTTGTTATAGAGGTATTGGGTCTTTTTAGAAAATTATTAATACATTCGTCAATCTGTATAGATTTCTAGCTCAGTGTGCCAGTCAATGTTTGTCACTGCTGCTGTGAAGTTATTGATAGCTGCCTCAATGTGAAGTCTAAAAGTGACTTTAGTAGTGTCTAGGGGTAATTTGGCCAAGGTTTGCTATGAGGAAGGTAGGGTAATGGTCTGTGGTATTATCTGTGATTATGCCTGATCTTAAGGGGAATATGGTGTTGGTCCAGATGTGGTCTAGTAGGGAAACACTAGTCTCTGTAAACTCTTGGGTTTTTGTTACTGTTGGTAGCAACATGCAGTTACTCATAGTGTTTGTAAATTCAGTAACATGTGGGTCTTGGTCTTGTAGGAGATTCATATTGAAGTCACCTGAGAGTAGTAAGTGATCTTTGTTCATGCGTGCATCAGTTATCATACTTCCTAGGTTTTCACTGAAACGGCTAATGTTGTGAGAGGTTTTTGTAGGTATTTGGATTTGAATTTAGCTATTATATATTCCCCATGTTCATCCCTTGTGCAAGTATTAGTGATACATTCTAGTTGGCCTGAGTAGTATATAGCTGTGCCACCCCCTTGTTGATCTGGCCTACAGTTGTGTATGGCTGTGTTTACCTGGAGTTTACCTGGAGAGAGTTCCGGGAATGACATAGACATCAGTAGTTTCAGGCTTTAGCCAGGTTTCGGTGAGAGTAATGATGGACATATTTGCATGCAGGGAATTTAGTAATGCTATGAGGTCATCGTTTGCTTAAAGATCTGATATTGTAGTTAAAGACAGTTATGTTGTTGTTGGCTCTGAGAAGTGTCTTTGATTGTTCTGCTGTGTAGTAATTACAGTTACTGTTTGATTAATTTAAGTTATTAGATAAGAGGTTGGTATCAGGATCAATGCTTGTTATCATAAGCTTTATAGTGAATCTATAGTTAGAATTAAGTATAAGACAAAGTAAATATTCTAAAGCTATAAAATAGCACCTGAATTATTTTAACAAATGTAAAAAATATGAGCTAAGGTAGCTCTTAAAGCTAAAATAAATGAGGCAATATAAAAGGGACTAAAATAATTTGTGGTGAACAAAAAAGTGGTAATCAAATAAATGAATATAATAGCAAAATAATGAACTTATTACACTTTAACACCTGAGAATAGCACCTTGATTATTTTATCAATTGTGAATATATGAACTAAGGTTGTTATATAAAGCTAAAATAAAAGAGAGAAAATATAAGGGACTAAATTAAGTAATGGTAAACAAAGTTAAAATGACAGATAGTCACTATGATATAATATTGATTTGGGAGTAAGATCTGATTTGTTATATATAATAAGTTGAGCAATATATTGTACTATAAAAAGTAAAAAAATAATATGAGGTAGTTGGTACTAGTTAGCAAAAGATAGTTAAGGGCCTTGTACAATGATATAATTGAAATATACACTAATTGCACACACAATATAGTCACTAAGATATGAATAAAATCTTCGAGTAGGATTTGCCTTATAGTATAAAGTTTGAGCAGTTAATATCACTATAGGAATATTTTTTGAGGTAGTTGGTACTAGCTAGTGAGGGATGGTAAAGGAATTTCTCAGACGATGCACCATCCCCCCAATGAAAAGCAGGGGTGTCACTAGCACGTTAAGAGACCATACAATAAGTGTCAGGGGCCCGAGACTGTTCAACTGCCTCCCAGCACACATAAGGGGGATTACCAACAGACCCCTGGCAGTCTTCAAGCTGGCACTGGACAAGCACCTAAAGTCAATTCCTGATCAGCCGGGCTGTGGCTCGTACGTTAGTTTGCGTGCAGCCAGCAGCAACAGCCTGGTTGATCAGGCTCTGATCCACCAGGAGGCCTGGTCACAGACCGGGCCGCGGGGGCGTTGACCCCCGGAACTCTCTCCAGGTAAACTCCAGGTAAGTAGTGTAGTAGGAACATACACTAGTTAGTTATTTGTAGTCAGGGAGAAATGGGGAAAATTTGGTAAGATTATTAGAGAATTTAAACAGGGCTTAAGTAGGAAAGAAAAAGGTAATACAAATATTAATAAAGACTAGGTATCCTATTAACAAATAATAATTTGTGAATAGGAAATCTGGGAAAATAAAACAAATAGGGTCACACAAAGAACTGTGTGGAACACATAGGATAATGAGGTAGTAAACTATCTTGGAGGTGATAGTACAGGGATTAGTTCAATAATTACATAGTAACATACACTAACGTAGTAAGAAATCGGTCACTAATATCAGTCAGACTCTGTAATGTTTGCATCATGAAGGAAGATTGCTAGATCATTTTCATTTGTAATGTAGTAAACACGGCCTACATTTGTTTTTCTTACTAGAATTTGTCCATCACGTACAAACCACTGATGAATTTTATCATTATTCTCACGTTTCAGTTTTCTCACTCTGCTACTTCATCCTACCATCCTTTTCTCAATTATATTTCGTTTAATTTTTCAACATATCAATTAACGAGTCAAGTTTACAGATTATAAGTAAGTTTATTCAGGTGTACCCAAATACAGTTACATAGATTGTCATACATAGCAGCATATGTGTCTGCTGCTGCACATAGGGTAATTCACCACACAGATTAATCTACCAAGCATAATAATTAGCCCAACTATACTAATAAACTGTTAGACTCGCCCACCACTTACCTTCTTGGGGGAGAACTTGAGGGCACAGGAAGTTTCAGTAAAGAAAATGGTGTTTGGGGTGAGCGGCCGCCAGTTGAGAGTTTTGTTGACGGTGTTAATTATGGAATACTTTGGACACAGATGATTTATCCAAGTGTTGATGTTCTCTCTCACATCTACACCAACACCCTCATCCTTGCGATTCATATAAAAATGTCTGTAAAAACTGATGTACAGGAAGGGAAGAGTATATAAAATTGCCAGTCGTTTAGTAGCAGTAACCCAAGTTCGTCGAGTGAACATCATTTCCAGGATTTGTGGTTGGCAATTATTGGTTCTTTTCAGGCTAAACTAAACTGAAAAAAGTGTAAAAAAAAATATAATTTAAAATTTTAAATATGTTTTGCAAGTACATATTTGTTTAGCTTTTTGTAGGTAGACTTTAGTTCAAATAGGAGTACACACAAACAATGATAAATGAATTTCAAGCTAAAACGGAACACAAGACTGATTTAATCACTTACATTCAAGAATATATATATATATATATATATATATTATATATATATATATATATATATATATATATATATATATATATATATATATATTTATATATATATCGCCGGAAGCGATATACCAGGCACCTCACACATAGGTATCACTTTTCAACTGAGGTCTGCAGCTGTGTGCGGAGAAATACATCCCTTGGTGTATATACAGTGGTGCTTTCATTGCATTTACATCTAGACTATTCTAGAGGAATACATTTATCAGAATAATATACATTATTGGTGTTAATATAAAGGGCTACGAAGGCTTGTGCCGCACAAGCCCTGCGCCCTGAAGTATGGTGTCTGGATGGTTACTATGGGTTTAGATATTGTGCAACGTGTCACTAGTATGGTCAGAGGATCACTTGCACTGTGGATCAACCAGAACCGTAAAGAATTCCTGCAATAATATGGCGAACCCTTCACACCACTACTAACACCTCAAACCACCACCTGACATTACTACCACCAACCTAAACCACCACTACACAACACCTCTACTAAAGCACTACACACTACCATCACTTTCACTAATACTTTATCACATGAGCATTCAACAGTGTTTAAACATCAAGAGGTGGTATTAAAAGATTTAAAATGTGGACAACAGTCGTGTATCTACAGTACCAACACAATTTTAAAAGAAGTCCACCCAGAGAATACACGTCACTGACAGTTTCTGATCTTACCTCTTAAATATTAAGTACAAGTTTCCTCGTAGGAATTATGTCTACAGAAATATATCAGTTTATGTTTATGAAGTGACTGATATAAAGTACATGTTATTATCTATGACACTTGTACATTGCTGGTACATGACAGCGATATTGATGATTGGCAAGTGTGTCTGGCATTATTGTGTTGATAGTTGGTGCGTTAAGGTAAAAATGACGATTTTCCTGCTGAGGCTCAGGCTCTCTCTCTCTCTCTCTCTCACTCTCTCTCTCTCTCTCTCTCTCTCTCTCTCTCTCTCTCTCTCTCTCTCTCCCTCTCTCCTCTCTCCTCTCTCTCTCTCTCTCTCTCTCTCTCTCTCTCTCTCTCTCACTTTCTCTCACTTTCTCTCACTTTTCTCACTTTCTCTCTCTCTCTCTCTCTCTCTCTCTCTCTCTCTCTCTTCTCTCTCTCTCTCTCTCTCTCTCTCTCTCTCAGATCAAGCCTGAGTATCCACATGCGTTGTATTACCTACGATTTAAGTGCTTCCCGTGAATAGAGTAATAATGATAATAAAGTTATTTTTAATTATTATTATTTTTTTTATATATTTAAAATACAGTACACATTATACATGGATGTCAATATACATGAACAAAACCAATCACCATAAACAAATTTAATTACTATACACCTATACACACTTCATTAAATGCTTCATACCCTAAATATCCCCAACAATCCAATTAATTTACTCCAGCACACTTCCACCATATGCGAAGTGTTATACAGTCAAAAGGTAAAAATCCTTCACATACCATTAAACCCTATGTTCCACCCCTCCCCCAACAGATACCTTACTAAATCATATTGAATCCTCCACCTTCCCTACAGGTCTCAAAATAGCAAGGGTCACCCCGATCCATAAAGGAGGAGACCAAACTGAGTTGAATAACTATAGGCCAATATCCAATTTACACCCTCTCTCAAAAATCTTCGAAAAATTAATTCATAAACGAATCTACTCCTACCTCATCTCCCAAAACATTCTCAACCCCTGCCAATTTGGATTCAGGCCTAATAAAAATACTAATGATGCTATTATACACATGCTAGAACATATATACACTGCAATAGAGAAAAAAGAAGTCCCACTGGGGATCTTCATTGACTTACGTAAAGCTTTTGATACAGTTGACCATGACTTGCTCCACGTAAAATTGTCACACTATGGTATAAGAGGGCACTCCCTCAACTACATCAAGTCATACCTCAGCAACAGAAGCCAATATGTGTACGCAGATGGGGCAAGCTCTTCAGCTCAACCAATTACAGTTGGTGTCCCACAGGGAAGTGTCCTTGGCCCTCTTCTTTCTCCTATACATAAATGACCTACCAAATGCTTCGCAATTACTCAAACCCACACTTTTTGCAGATGACACTACATACGTCTTCTCTCACCCGAGCCCAGTCACGCTAGCCAATACTGTAAACACCGAATTACAGAAAATATCTACCTGGATGAGGACTAACAAACTTAAACTAAACATTGACAAAACCTACTTCATTCAGTTTGGTAACAGAGCTACAGATGTACCTCTTAACATAACGATAAACAGATCACCTATCACAAAGCTAATAGAGGGAAAATTCTTAGGAATCCACCTTGATAATAGACTCAAATTTCATACACATATGCAACAAATTTCTAAGAAAATTTCCAAGACTGTAGGCATACTATCGAAGATACGGTACTATGCTCCACAGTCAGCCTTCCTGGCCCTATATCACTCTCTTATTTACCCCTATCTCACCTATGGAATTTGTGCATGGGGCTCAACAACAATTAACCATCTCAGACCACTAATTACCCAACAAAAGGCTGCAGTTAGAATGATAACAAATTCTCACTACAGGCAGCACACTCCAACAATATTCAAAACACTCAACCTACTCACCATACAAAACATCCATACTTATTACTGCACTTATTACATACATAGAACACTTAACTCTGATATTAACCCTCCCCTCAAACATCTCCTTGCCAACCTCAACAGAACACATGACCATAACACAAGGCACAGATCACTCTTTGATGTTCCTCGTGTCCATCTCACACTATGCAAAAACTCAATGCACATAAAAGGCCCTAAAATCTGGAATTCATTACCTGTAAATATAAAAGAAACACTACCTGTTTATAAATTCAAGTCTCTTCTCAAAGATCACTTACTCACCCAAAACCAAATAAATACTGAATAACTGAACCTTGTGAATTGTATATCCTAAATGTTACTCACAATTATATCACATAAATGTTAAACCTAGGACCCAATCTATCTTTATTATTTTTTTAAATACACTACCTAACAGAATACTCCATTCGACTGAATGTACAACAATGCATGCAACCATATTACCTGTCTTTGTTATACTCATTTGTGCTTTATAGTTATCTGTTTACAATAATGTTTTATCACTGATTTCATCATTGCTTAGCTAATCTTAAGTTAATTTTAAGCCAGCCCGTAATGCTATGCATATAAGTGGCTTTGGCATGCTGCTCTTACCTGTATTTTTTTGTACCTCTGTATGTATGCTAAAATTACTAAATAAATAAATAAATAAATAAATACTTATTTGCACAGCAAATAAAAAGGTCCCCCCCGTCCTCTCACAGAAACCATCCATCAAAACCTACAAATCGGTGTACATACTATAAGACCTCCAGAACTAGTTACCTTTAGTAACATTTATGACAACATTTTTCATATTTTATTTAAAAAGGTACATAACACCAAGTAAAAAAATTATAGGCCCTATCCGGCAACAGATGTAATAAAACTTTCCATTGCCATATAATTACCACATACATATCTTGATTTTTTTTTTAAAAGATACAATACAAGATATAAATAAATAAAATAATACAATAATTAGCCATTTGCGAATACAATGATCTATCGTCAACCCCCATCAGACCCTAAGTGTTACAATCATATCGTCATTGACCTCATCGCTTTATTGCCGTGAGGTTGTGCTGCGCACACGCTCCTGGTTGAGAGGCCTTCCTGCGCAGATTGATTTTCACAAGATGGCGCAGTCGGAGGATCTCACCTTCAAGGACCAAAACATTGTATCAATCGCATCTGCTAGAAAAATGACAGGATGGATAACGAGAACCTTCAAAACTAGGGAGGCCAAGCCCATGATGACACTCTTCAGGTCACTTGTTCTATCTAGGCTGGAATATTGCTGCACACTAACAGCACCTTGCAAGGCAGGTGAAATTGCCGACCTAGAAAATGTACAGAGAACTTTCACGGCGCGCATAACGGAGATAAAACACCTCAATTACTGGGAGCGCTTGAGGTTCCTAAACCTGTATTCCCTGGAACGCAGGAGGAAGAGATACATGATTATATACACCTGGAAAAATCCTAGACTAGTACCGAACTTGCACACGAAAATCACTCACTACGAAAGCAAAAGACTTGGCAGACGATGCACCATCCCCCCAATGAAAAGCATGGGTGTCACTAGCACGTTAAGAGACCATACAATAAGTGTCAGGGGCCCGAGACTGTTCAACTGCCTCCCAGCACACATAAGGGGGATTACCAACAGACCCCTGGCAGTCTTCAAGCTGGCACTGGACAAGCACCTAAAGTCAGTTCCGGATCAGCCGGGCTGTGGCTCGTACGTTGGTTTGCGTGCAGCCAGCAGCAACAGCCTGGTTGATCAGGCTCTGATCCACCAGGAGGCCTGGTCACAGACCGGGCCGCGGGGGCGTTGACCCCCGGAACTCTCTCCAGGTAAACTCCAGGTAAACCACGTACTTGCGGCTAAAGGGAAATCCGCTATAACCCAACACGCAAAACGTACACACTGATCTACCATTTACACGTAATAATTAAATATTGTGATAGTAGGTGTATATACATATATCTCAGATTATAGAAGCCATATGAAGGCTAACTCGAACCTGCTCTTCAGGGCCTCGAATCATTATTGCTACGTCCCTATTTGTCAAACAACCGTAGATTCCTGATACCTTTTAAAGCACCATACATCAAGTATATACTTTTTTGAATATGTTTGAGCTAAGCCAAGCATTAACAGGATATATACACATATGACCG